GAATAAAAATTGTTGTTTTAGATTTAAAAAATGCCAGTTGTGTTCTTTGTTAGATTCTGAGGCTGTTGCAACAGGCTATCCCAGTTGGGTGGTGTAAAGCACAGAAGCTGTTCTCTCACTGCTGGGGAACACTGCCCCCCCCCAAGGTGTCTGCAGAGGGCAGCTCCCTCCCACCTGTGTTGGGTCTCCCTGGAGCCCAGCTTCCTGTGGCTCCGCTCCAGGCTCTGTCTCTGTCACCATGTCCCTCTTGTGTGTGTCTGTGTTTTTCAGATCGTGTAAAACATGTAACACGAGATCTTAATGGATTTCCTGCATCACAGTGTTGTCAGGCGCACACGTGCATTTGTGTTTTATAGGTTTACAACTGTTCTGCATASGTTTTCATCCTGATGACTGAAATTCTGCACCCATTTCCCCTCCCCCGGCTCCTGGCAACTCCCATTCTACTTTGTGTCTTTTTTTTTTGTCTGTGGTACTGGGGATTGAACACAGGGCATCCTGCATGCTAGGCAAGTGCTCCACCCCAGAACACCAGCCCTTTAAATCCCCTCCTGCCTCAGCCTCCCAAGATGCTGGGATTATAGGCTTGCACCACACCTTTGTGTGTATCCTTGCATTCAGCGTCCACATGGGTAATCTAGATTGTTTTCATCTCAAGATCCTTCTGCAAGATTCTTATTCATATATATGGTCATATTCACAAGTTCCGGGAGTTAGGATGGGGATGAAGCTTTTTGATTATAGTCATTGAAAATGTATTAATGCATATACCTTTCTGTACCATGAATAATAAAGTCCTTTGTCTTCTACCCAAGAAGACACAAGCCTCTTCTGCCAGCACCCATGAAATAATAGCATTTTAATTAGTAGCTTGCAAGGAGGATACAATCTCAGACAAATACTAACATGTTCAGGAAAAAAAAATCTAAGTAGGTTGAATTCTCACAAAGTTACTTTATTAAATAGCAGATTTTAAAATGTGWAATCTTACAAAAACTCTTCTCAAAAGCCTGTCAAATGACTGTGGCTGTAGCTTGGTGGTAGAGCACTTGCCTAGCACATGTGAGGCCCTAGGTTTGATCCTTAGCACACATAAAAACAAACAAATAGAATAATTTTTTTTTTATGTCTATCATTGCTGGGTGAGGTGGTATACAACTGTACTCCCAGTTGTCTTAGGAGGCTGAGGTAGGTGAATCACAAGTTTGAAACCAGCCTCAGCAACTTGGTGAGGCTCTCTATGCAACTTAGCGAGACCCTGTCTCAAAGTAAAAAGGACTGGGGATATAGCCCAGAGGTAAACTACCTCTGAGTTCAATCCCCAACACCCCAAAAAACAAAACAAAAAAAGAGTCTATGTTCTTTTTTAAATTTATTATTATTATTATTATTATGTGTGTGTGTGGGGGGGTGCTGGGAATTGAACCCAGGGCCTTGTGCCTGCGAGGCAAGCACTCTACCAACTGAATTAAGTCCCCAGCCTATCTTTATTATTTTTATGTGATGTTGAGGATCGAACCCAGTGCCTCACATGTGCTAGGCAAGTGCTATACCACTGAGCTACAGCCTCAGTCCAAAAGTCTATATTCTATTTCTCCATTTTATAAATTATCCCTTATTTCAGGTATGTTAGTTAAGGTAATGCTTACTAGATGCTATAATGGATAACTCCCAGCTCTCTGGTTCTTGCCTTGTCCTGTGTGGGCATTCTGGGCTGGAAGTCTTTCCTGGGTTGCTTTTTCACTATCCTGATCTCATGACTCCTTGGGTTTCCTAGTGTTTTTTTTTTAATATTTATTTTTTAGTTGTAGTTGGGCACAATATCTTTTTTTTTACTTTTTTTTTTTTTAACACAATGCCTTTATTTTTATGTGGTGCTGAGGATCGAACCCAGGTCCCGCCCGTGCTAGGGGAGCGCTCTACCACTGAGCCACAATCCCAGCCTAGGCACAATATCTTTACTTAATTTATTTATTTATATGTGGTGCCGAGGATCGAACCCAGGGCCCTGCATTTGCTAGGCGAGTGCTCTACCGCTGAGCCACAACCCCAGCCCAGAAGGTATTGTTTTTATTAGAAAAAATTTCAAGCATGTCAGAATATAGAGAGTAATATCAGAGCTCTAAAACATATCCTTTACCTCATTCCAACAATTATCACCATTTTGTAACTTTTACCACCACTTTTCTTTTCTGGACTATTTTTTTTTAGTTCTTCTTGTTGATTAAAAAGAAATAGTGCTCTCATAAAAAATAACATTGTGGAAATTATCTGACTTAGGAAAGGAGACACCTATAACCTTACCTGTCAGAAAGAGCCCCGTTTGCCCACATGTGGGCTCATGCGAGGTGTGTGTAGTCTTCAAGGATGTCTTTTTTTTATTGTGATGCTGGAGATTGAACCTAGGGCCTTGTGTATGCAAGGCAGGCACTCTACCAACTGAGCTATATACCCAGCTTAAGGATGTAATCTTTAAGGATCTTTCTGTATCAGTCTTAAATATAGATAGTGTATTCCATTATATGGATTACAACATGATCAGCCGGGTTCAGTAGTGCATACCTATAATCCCAATGACCGGGGAGGATGAGGCAAGTTCAGAGCCAGCCTCAGCAACTTAGTGAGGCCATAGGCAACTTAGAGAGACCCTGTCTCTAAATAAAATACAAAAAAGGCTGGGGATATAGCTCAGTGATTAAATGCCCCTGGTTCAATCCCCAGTACCAGTCATCATCATCATCGTCATCGTCATCTAGTTCCCTGTGGGGGTATTTTTGGTTTTTCAGTTTTTCCCTATTAAATACTGCTGCACTAAAAAAGGAATATGTACATAAAATTTAAAAATAATGCTGCACTAACAACCTCCTACATTTTTTAATATGGTATGTTTTAGAATTGTCGGTTCAGATATGTACATTTTTTAAAAAAATAATAACTTCATTTTACTTATTTACTTATTTTTACATGGTGCCAAGGATGGAACCCAGTGCCTCACATGTGCTCGGCAAGTGCTGTACCACAATCAGCCCTAGCATATGCACATCTTTTTTTTTTTTTTWAAAGAGAGAGTGAGAGAGGGGGACAGAGAGAGAGAGAGAATTTTAATATTTATTTTTTAGTTATCGGCGGACACAACATCTTTTGTTTGTATGTGGTGCTGAGGATCGAACCCGGGCCGCACGCATGCCAGGCGAGCGCGCTACTGCTTGAGCCACATCCCCAGCACATATGCACATCTTAAAAAGATTTATAGATATTGTCAAATTGTCCTCCCAAATGAGTATACCGATTTATGCCTTCAGCAGTGGATGGGAGTGCACAGATTTTTTTTTTTTTTAAGTGGTTCTGGGACTTGGACCCAAGGGTGCTCTACCCTGATCTACATCCTTTTTTATTTTATTTTTATGTGGTGCTGAGGATCGAACCCAGTGCCTCACACGTGGCAGGTGAGTTCTGTACCACTGAGCCCCAGCCCCAGCCCCTTGAGCTGTATCTTGAGCCCTTTTTATTTTTATTTTTTTTATATTTTATTCAGAGACAGGGTCTCACAAAGTTGCTGAGGCGGGCCTCAACCTTAACAATCTTCCTGCTTCCGCCTCCTGAGGCGCCGAGGTTATAGGCATGCACCAGGGTACCCTCCTAGAGCAGCATGGCTTTACAGTCTACTTTGTCCTGGTGCAGACAGGGCCCGGAGGTCAAGGGCTCTCTTAGTCCAGGCTTGTTTCTGCAGCAATGCAACTGAAGCTCCTGATGGTTGACTTCTGGTCACTTCCTCCTCCAGGGTCTCTTCCAGACCTGACTCTAGCCTGCCTGATTTCTTCATGGCCTTACTTTTGTGTTTCTGGGTCTCAGTTCACAGGAGCTTCCTGGAGGTCTCTGAACCAGATGCCCAAAGACAGTGGGAGTAGGGGCAGTAATTGTCTTCCTGCTGCCTTGCTCCTGGTTAGCCTTTCTTTCCCTGGCAGTAGTGGGCATGGAAACCAGGGCCTTGTGCACACTGGCAAGCTGCTACTCCTGAGCACAGCGCATCCCTGAGGCTGGGTTATTTGATTCTCTGAGAGGTGCACAGACTGCTCTCTGCCAAGGTTTTCTGCAGTCTTGTTCTCCTGTTATTTGGGATGTAGAAACATTTGCAACCCAGTGGGGACTTCTGCACTCAGGGCTTTCTCATTCCTTCCATTTCTCCTTGAGAAGTTGTAGTTCTTGCCTGTGCCATCCTTTTCTTGGAGTCCTGTGTGGAGGCAGTCAGTAGAATCCTTCTCTGACTCTTCCCASCCCCCTGGGCCAGAGGCTGCTGCGGGCGGTGGATCGTTGGCATCGTCGTGGGCTCCCAGCTCTGCAGCATTCCTGCCTGTGCTCTGCCTCCTGACTGCGAAGCCAGGGCCACAGAAGCTCCGGTTGTCTTCACAGCCAACCCCACTTCAAGGGACTCATTTGATGTCAGAGGTCGTTCAGGAAAGCAGAAACTACTGTGGGTATTTCCAGCAGGAAGGTGTTTAGCATAGTGAATCAGAGGATTACAAAACCATGAGTAGGGTGGGGGTTGATGGTGGTAGCGTCAAAGCCAGAAGGAGCTGCTGGCAGCTCTCAGAAAATTAGGACTTGTGCTTATTACACAAAACTGCTGCAGATGAGCTGTGCGCTCCCTAGGACCAGGGAGGGCGAAATTAAGAAGAATGCTCAATGGTGCTGGTGACGTGACCCTGCCACTCCACTGAACAGCCCCAGCTGGCATCATCTCACTGCTTTCCGAGTCTTATGGGGTAGTGGTGCTTCTTGTCACTGGATCGGGGCTGTGGCTCCTGTCGTTCAAGGGAGAGCAAGATGTCACCAGCACCCAGCCTGCTTCCCTGCTGGGAGGGCAGCACAATCTTGCTGGCCACGGATCTGACCCTCAGCAAGGTGCTGTTAAGTTACATGATGATAGTGTGCATCGTGGAAGTGAATATAAAAATCTGTGCATAAATAAAATTTTGTCTTTATAATTACTTTAATTACAGACTATAAAGCAATTGGCAAAATAGGAGAGGGAACATTTTCTGAAGTCATGAAGATGCAGAGCCTGAGAGATGGAAACTACTATGCATGTAAGCAAATGAAACAGCACTTTGAAAGGTAGGTGTCCGAGACAGCTGCCACCCAGTGCTGGCGCAGCCTTGAGTTTAGGGCAGTCTCTGTCCTGGGAAAACTGTTCATTTAGTTGTAAATAAGTAGTCCGATCCCTTGGGCATTGAGGGTCATGGGCTGAAGAGCTGCTTATAATGCTGGCATTTCCTCTTGTCCAGGCTTACAATGATGTCAGTGATGAATGGTGTGAGATTTTAAGTTGTAAAGAGTTGTATGTGTGTTGGGGTCTTACAAATCAGACCTTCGTCCAGGTGCATTAGAGGTGCTTGCAGTTTAATTACTTGTGAAGCATGTGGACATGATGAGGAATGATTTCCAGGTAGGGATAGAGGAACTTCTTTCCTGGGTGACCTCAGCTGCCCGTCCGTGGGGAGGAACTGTGGTTCATGCTCACGCCTGTGGAAGACCGCCCTGGCTTTTTCTTTCAGAGCAGACTCTGATGGTCTCAGAGTTGGCCAGCTTCTCAACATACGCTACACCAACAAGCCAAAAATGGATGCCATTAGGAAACTGTCTGAATGAGGAAGTGAGTGCTGGCTTCATTGTAACATGAAACTTTTCAATAAAAAGTCTGAGGCCAGTAATTTATGTCTCTAAATAGCCAAAGAATTTTGAAAGCATAATTATTTCACCGTATTGATGCACAGCCTTCTGGAGAGTTTTGGGGTATAGACCTTGATTTCAGACTCTAAGTATGAAAAGTCATTTCTCAGGTCAGAAGAGGAGTGTTGCCAGTTCATCTCACTAGAGAGGGTTGAGAGTAGCACTTCATCCTCATGACATCTCGTCCAGGTAGCTGTTATCCTTGCTTTGCACAGGAGGGGAGGGTCCCTGACCTTGTCACTAGCTCTGCACCTCTGGGTTCGAATCCACTTTTCACCAAAGCCAAACCCTGGCTCTTTATTGCCCAGACCACATGGTGGTTCACCTACCACTTCCAAGACTCGGCTGCTGCCAAGGTCTTCTGCTTTGCCTTTCCTGGGACTTCTTCCTCTACATATTCCACACTCTCTGTCCCCAACCCCCCATTCCRTCCATCTTTACCTTCAGACTACCAAAGACAGAGAATTAGATGCACGGTATGCTGACGACCCTGCATGGAGAGAGCAGAGAGCAGCTTCCTCCACAGGCACCCTGTGAGCTCCCGCCCCAGCAGCCAGCACTGGACTTTGAGCAGCAGGGGTGGCACCTTTGCCCACCCCCCACCAAGGACTGAGGACTGGATCCTTTCAGGTTCTCACTGTGGGTTTCAGGGAGAGAGAACTTAAAGGTGACCACAGGTGTGCTGCTGTCATTTTGGTGACAGGTAAGCGTACACAGTGGGTGGATGCTGAGCCCCAGAGTTTTGCACTCACAGCAGTGCTGTGAGGAGACCACACTTGGTCACACAGGTGCCCATGGGAAGAGGGATACAGGTGTAGCTCATTTTAGGAAGGTTTCTGGTGAAGAAGGTTGGTGAGTTCTGAGAGCAGACCTTTGCTAATCCTGTCACCTCCCGAATACCCACCTCTAATCACCATAGCCAGATTAAGTTTCTACCCTCTTACCCTCACAGTGGGCGTTCAGTTCAGTGTCTGTAATATGAAGTGTCACAGTGGCTGGTGTTTTGTGCTATTTGGATGCACAGACTCAGTCATGTGGCCCAGTGCTGAGTTTTAGTTTCAACAGGCGTTTGTTAACATGCCTTAGGACCTGCCAWAGCTGTGTAGTCCAAACCCAAGGAGAACTGGACATTGGATTTCATTTTGTGAGTTCTGATTTGCTGTTTATATATGTCTTAAAAACCCTAGGATGGGTCTGAGACTGTGGCTCAGTGGCAGAGCACTCGCCTAGCAGGGTGAGGCACTGGGTTTGATCCTTAGCACCACATAAAAAGGCATGCTGTCCATTCACAACTACAAAAATAAATAAATAAATAAATCAACCAACCAACCTACCAGCCATCCCACCCTGGGACACAGGAATCCCCTCACAGTTGGTCTGCTGTGGCCAAGGGAAGCGTTCTTTTGATATGACCTATCCTCTTTTCTTTCTTTTAGTATTTTTTGGCGCTACGAGGCTTTCTGTGCTCCTTTTATACTTTCCTTGCTCCAGCCCTAGAACCTGCCATTTCTCTAAGGAGCCCTGATTCCTTTCATTGGAGGAAGGTATTTAGAAACTAAGATCTGGACACTGGGTGTCCTAGTACTGGGTGCTGATGCTTCCAGGGCTCTTGGCAAACAGTGCTGGTGGTGCCAACCCATCACGCCCGTGCCTGGCTCCCTTTCCCATCTCTATTCAAGTGCCTATGAGAGCATACCCATAAAATAARTAAATGGGATGAAGAAATGATTCTTTCTCACAGAAGAATTTCACTTAATACATGTAGGGGGATAAGGGAAATAGGGAACCATCATTAGAATGCACATGTAATAATTTTTGCAGTCAGAAATCATTGCTGGGGGAAACTCAAAAGTTATTTCTGACTATAGAAATAATTATGTGTTCATTATTACTTGTTTATTGTTATATGTTAAATTATTACAGGCTGATGCATGCTAAATTAATGGGTGAAACTATGAAGAGAAATAGGATTTCTATATAGCCCTAAAATATTTCCTCCTAGATACTTTATTTTTAAAATTTAATTTATTTTTAAGCTCATACACAAAACATAGAAATTATAAATATTAATGGTGTGTCATGTAATGTTTTGATACATGTATACATTGTATAATTTTTTTACATTTATTTTTTAAAATTTTATTTATTTATTTATTTTTGGTACTTGGGATTGAACCCAGGGCACTTAACTATTGATATATTATCATGAGCCCATTTTTTGTATTTAGAGACAGGGCCTCRCTAAGTTGCTGAGGCTTTGAATTCGTGATCCTCCTGCCTCAGCTTTCTGARCCGCTGGGATTACAGATATATACCACCACGCCTGGCACATCATGTAATGTTTAAATCAGGTTAAATATATCTGTTTCCTCAAACATTTGTCATTTCTTTATGGTAAAAACTTTCCAAATATTAATTTTTTAAAAATATATTTCAATACATTTTATTAGTTTATTTTTATGTGGTGCTGAGGATCAAACCCAGGGCCTCACATGTGCTAGGTGAGCGCTCTACCACTGAGCCACAACCCCAGCCCTCCAGATATTAATTGTAACTACTCTGATTGCCATCAATAATAAATACTAGCTAGTGTTGATTGATTACTGTGGAAGYTCTGACAGATCCTGGTATTGTTTGGTACCCCTTCCTCCAGGAGGTAGGGCTTCCTTCCTTCCTCTTGAGTGTTGATTGGACTTAGTGATTTGCTTCTAAAGAATAGAAGGGACAAACAATGGCATTACAGTTAGAAACCTGGCAGGTCCCACTGAGGCTAAATGGTCCAGGTCACTGTCGGTGGTGAGACAGGGACACAGTGGACCAGGATGGCAGGCTGTGCCACCTCCGTGCTCGCTCCCCAAAGCCATAATCCCAGTGTAACCCTGAGAGCACAGCAGGGGAGTCCAGATTGGGGGACATTCCACAAAACACCTTCCTAGCCCAAGGCTGTCATGGCAGTGAAAACAAAGACTGAGGAGCTATTGCAGATTGGAGGTGACTCTCTGGATGGGACGTGATAACTTAACTGCAGGTGGCATCCTAGATCCTGGAAAAGAAAAGACATTAGTGGAAAAACATGGGAGACCTCAAGTTTAAGTAATAGTTGTACCAGTGTCAGTTTTTTAGTTTTGATAAATGTTATACAAATTGGGTAGACTCCATATTATCTTTACACCTCTTCTGAAAGTCTAAAATAATTTCAACATAAAAGGTAAAACATAAGACAGTACAAGCAGACCAAGAAAAAATAAATAAATACAGAAGCCAGGCCCAGTGGTGCACACCAGTTATACCAGTTACTCAGGAGGCGGAGGCAGGAGAATTGCAAGTTCGAGACCAGCCTGGACAAGTAGCAAGACCCTATTTCAAAATAAAAGATTTAAAGGACTGGGGGCGGGGCTGGGGATGTGGCTCAAGCAGTAACACGCTTGCCCCTCAAAAAATGAGGGGTGCTGGGTTCAATCCTCAGCACCACATAAAAGTAAAATAAAGATGTTGTGTCCACCGAAAGGGTTCGATCCTCAGCACCACATAAATGTAAAATAAAGCTATTGTGTTCACCTAAAACTAAAAAATAAGTATCAAAAAAAAAAAAAAAAGGACTGGGGATGCAGCTCAATGGGAAAGACCCCCAGTACCACAAAATAGCAGAACAACAAACAAGACAACTATAGGAGATCTGGTACTACTCATTGATTATGAACTTCTGTTCTTAAAAGTGTAGCTGTTAATTCTGATTTACATGGGAAAAAGAATTGTTAGTTTCTTCTGCTTTTGGTGTCATCTCTAAGGATGAGATTGCTAATAATTTGTAGTTTGTTGGATGTTCCAGTGTAACTGATACTGGTCCAAGTATAATGCTGTTTCTTTGTTTCTTGTGGTGCTGGGGGTGGAACCTAGGGTTTCCTGCCTGCTAGGCAAGCAACATACCCCTAAGCCATACCCCTAWGCCATACACTGTAGCCCTTGTTTTTGTTTTCAGACATGAAAATAATACTTCTGGCTTTTACATGGGAGTATCTTTCTGTAGTATTCTCTCATCATTATCAAAGAAATTGTCTTGTTTACTTAAAGAACAATTTCAAAGTTGATTTTGGGTGCCCTTAGCCATCCGTTTCTGTTCTACTTCTCATTGTCTAAATGAGTCCTCAAAGTCACCTTGCACAGTTGCTTGGGTGGTTTGGGAAAGGTGAAGCATTGGCAGAAGAAGATCACACCATGTCAYTCAGGCAGGATGATGTTGGCATTCAAAGCCTCTGCCCCCTGACCCCTCCAACTTTACTTGTAATCCTTTCCTCCTACTTTAGTTGGAATTGAAATTGATGGCTTTTGGGGCTGRGGATGTGGCTTAAGTGGTAGTGTGCTCACCTGGCATGCATGAGGCACTG